TGTTTGTTTGTGGGATTTAATATATATAGGCATCTTGAACACGTTAAGTGTTCACATTCGAAGATGCTTGTATTCATTCTCACATAGCAAGGAAATGCAATAAAGAAAATTACCTCAGAGCCAAATTAAGTAGTCACGATTAGATTGTTATCAGGCACAAGAGTATTATCAGTTTGGAAAATCTTTGGGAAAATACAGCCCAGAGATACTGATTTCAGATTTTATTTGTGTCTTTACTATCCCAATATATATCATAGGTACAATTATTTACTGGGTTCATATTATATGTCACATTATCATTTAAACTTTACCATTTTTAGATGAAAAATGACTTTAAATAATTAGCTATTTGCTCACGGTCACTATCTGTAATGTTAGTGGTTACATTAGGACCTATTCCTTTGGCAGCTTTCATTACTAAAATATATTTTAACAGCTACTTTTTAATCTCCATACATAAATTATAATATAAGGCTATTAATTTCATAAATTTTGGGGCATTTTATAAGCAAACATGAAGATTTAATTATTTTTATTGTCAAAGTCATTACCAATACTGTTTTAAAAATTCAAGCATTATTTTGCATAAAAATTGCTTGCAAAGGGCTGGCCAAATTTGCTCAGCAGATTAAAGGTACTGCAATTAGGTGCAGAAGCCAGGGGTTTGATTCCCAGGCTTGCTGTGCTGGCCTTGCCCACAGGCTCGCGGAGAGGATGATTGAGGCTGAGCGTGGTGGTGCGCGCCTATGTGCGCCTATAATCCCAGCTCTCGTAAAGCTGTAAACAAACAAAAAAAAATTGCTTCCAAATTTATTCAATATAGATAGAACATTACTTTTGTTACAAATGCTAAAATCAAAAATTCTAATTTTGTAATAAAATGGTACATTTTAAAAGTGTTTTATCTTTAAATGGATTTTAAAATATAAGTATCATAAATATCTCCTCAGGTTAGATTTGGGTAGCAACTGCAAAATCCCAAGTGCATTATCCCAGTATAGATTTTCATGGCATATCAGGAATATCTAAAACTGTGGTATTTTTTAAAGATTGATTGATTTGGTACGGAGTCTCACTACGCAGCTCAGACTCCTTTCTCAGCCTCACCAGCCCTGGCACTACCGGCATGTGCCATCATGCCCAGTTTCAAAACCTTGCCCCACCAAAGCTGGCACAGCATGCAGTACCAGGTATCAAATTCGAGTCCTTGAGCTTGCCAGGCCAGTGCTCAGACCAATGAGCTATCTCCCCATTCTCTAATCCTGTTTTCATGCCTAAACCTGTTTATACTGACTCATCCTTTATAGTAATGTTAATATTTCAGTCTGAAAATATTGTTAAATTTCTGTGTGCACGCTGGAAAATTCAAGTTGAGAGCGAACTCTCCCTTTTCACATCCATTCAGTCCTGAAGAACAGCCAGCAGATAACCTAAGAAGGCACCAAGCCATTGATGAATGGACTCAGAAATGCTTGTATTTGTGTAGAAAACAGAAGACAATTTATGAAAAAAAGTGATATTCTCTCATTTGCCACAACAAGAATGAATGAGTTAAGCTAGAAAAACAAGTAGCATATGATATTGTACATATGTAGAAATTTAAAAAGTTAATTTCATAGAAGTTGAGAGTAGAATCTTAGCAGATGTGGGTGAAAGTATGGAGTGAGGAGATGGCTAAGCTTTCATTGATTGTCATAGAAGTTCAGTGAGATAAAAGAATAGATTTATAGTATGCTGCTGCACAGTATTTTCTAGAAATAATGGCATTGTATGTATATTTCAGAAAGGTAAAGAGACTTTTGAACGTTTTCACCATAAAAATGATGCCTGTTGGTGAAGATGACTGTCTAACTTGCTTTAAATGTTATGCAATATACATTTGTACTGAAAAAAATCAATATTATGTGCATTCATTAAAAACAAAATTTCAATAATGGAAAAAGGAGACATTGAGCTAAAAAATTCCAAACCCATAGAAGCTTTAGTAATCTTATTGAATGATATAAATCAGCATATGCTAGCGATAGCTTTTATTCTTGTGAAATTTATGCAACTACTTAATTTTACCTAAATAAATTTGAAATGAAAAATTTGAAAAGTTATCACATAAAAATAGTGTGCATATTACGGCTTAAAAGAATCTATCTCCATTTATGTATTTGCATTGTCATTTAAAAATTAAATGAATAATAAAATAATAAAAAATGATGTAGAAGAACTGGTACTTGAGCAGGCATATTTGCCAGGCTGAAGTATTACAAGGAAAAACAATAGGGCTATAAATCCAGTTAAATATATTCAGATTCCCTCCATCTTTTGAAAAATAATTTATTTTATGTTATTTTACTTTTTAGACTGGGTCAGTCTTACTATGTAGATCAGCCTGGATGCAAACTGACTGCAAATTCCTGTCTCAGCCTCCCAAGTGCTAAGATAATTGGTGGGTACCACCACAGACAGCTTCAAAAGAAATTGGAAGGCCCAGCCAAATAGCTCAGTGGATTAAAGTGCCTGCAAGCAGGTGCAGGGCCGGGGGTTCAGTTCCTAGGCCTGCATGCTGGTCCCACCTCCAGGGTGCCCTGAGAGGATGACTGAAACTGGGTGTGGTGGCGCATGCCTGTAATCCCCGCTCATGGGAGGCTGTAAACAGGGGATCACTATGAGTCCGATCTAGTAGTGAGACCCTGCACACCCTGTAGATTCCTCACAAAAATACAAAAAAACAAAACAAAACAACCACACAAAAAAAAAAAACACAGAAAGAAAGAAAGAAGAAAAGAAATTTGAAACACACATCCTTTCGCTCTTCCTTTACTTCTGTCTTAGTGCCTGTGTGTTATGTTTACAGGTTCTTTACTGTATCTGATGACCTTCTGCTACAAGTCGCCCAGCTGTTCCCAGCCCAGCACCCAAGAGCATAACCCCAGGAGTCCCACTGAGCTGCTTTGATTCCCAAGTCCAACACTGTGACTTTGTCAAAAGTACACTGCTCACATCTTTCTGGTGCCTGAGTTTACTCAATGTGTGCCAGACTTGGTCTGGTCTCAGAGAACCATGGGGAAAATTAGGTGAGTGAAAGCAGGAAAAGTTATTATCAGAGTGTCAGTTTGGTAATTAGTACTCAGTGCGTCTTGAATGTTTTCATCATCATTTTGTTATCAATGTACCTTCTTCATCTCCTACTCTACTCAGGAGTGCATGCTAACTTTCCACTTGTGAAGCGTCTACACAATAAAACCTTAACCAACATTCCCAAAATTCACATGGATCAAAAGAAGGGTATATGAAGAAGAAATGGAAGGACAAAAAAATTAAAATCCTACTCCAATATTTTCTTCCCTTTCTTATTACTAGGCTCTTTGCTAGTACCCAGAACCATAATATTCACATGTAAATACTTGGATATTTGCTGTTATGAAGGAAAGTGTAAGAATATGATTCTTCAATATTTTCTGGAAGAATTTTAACCCTCTTATTCATTTATTTTAGTGAATAGAAGCAAACTAATTCCAATATAAAGTTCTGATATAAAAAATATGTTCTTGGCAGCCATTCTTTTCCTTTTCATCCAACTGAAAGCAAGAGAGAAAAGCTTCACATCTAACATGCTGCATTGTTCAACCCTTCTGAAACACAACGTGACGATTCTTTAGCCTCTCTCTACTCTCTCAAGGCTCTTCAAACCAAACTAAATCTATGAGGATGAATGTACTTTGTAGAAGCATCAGGCTGGAGTCATTTATTGAACAAACAGGGCTCCCACTAATCTTTTTATGTTGACAGATGCTGGAGCTTATGTATAAATAAAACTATAAAGCATTCCAAAGCAGAATCATGCTGAATAGCAGCTAGCATATATTTACCACCTGAGTCCACCTCAAAGCCCTTCAAGAAAATTGTACAGTGACAAAATATGTCTCTGCAATAAAGGATCTCAAAATGTATGCCCTAAAGGAAGGCCATTCCTTCATGTTGCACTTTTCTATGCTTCCCCAAAGCAGAAAGCTTAAATCACTCCCTAGAAACCCAAGGCTTTCAAATTTTCTAGCTATGTAGGGTGAGGATTTTCACTATCAAAGGACTAGGCAGAGATAATGGGGTCCTTCCATTACAGACTTTGCTCTACTATCCTCAGAATATATTGTAATAATCAGAAATCAATTTTCAGATGTAATTCAAAGAAGGTGTTGCTGTTCTAACAAATGAATTCTAAAATCATTAGTTTATTAGTCAGTCACAAGAGTGGCCTTAATTTTAGGCTCTTCATTTTCCTTGTGGCATTTAAAAATATTTGTTACCAAAAGAGAATTTTCCATGAATGGAACATAATACATTAAATAATTACTTGCACCAGATGGTACTTGCCATGTACTGATGTATTCCTGTGGAATATAGAATTAGAATGTTAGAGGCAAGACCCAGAAACACATTGGTAAGAAGTACATTTATACACCATTATATCCTGCTCAGCTTTTGGCATGTGACAAACCTACCATAAAAGTAGTGTTTAAAGTCTAGTTAAGAATAATTCCTTATATACTTTTTCTTTTCCACAATCTCTGCATTTAATATCCAGAACAACATAGCAGGACCCTGACTAGTTGTCGTTTGGCAGGTAGACATTTCTGGCAGTTGCTTAACAGATTGATTTCATTTAAGAGCAAAAAACACATTTAGTTCTCAAAAACATGTAATTGACTTAGCTTTTCAGACTCATAATTACTTCAACTAGCTTTAGAAGTTAAATTCCTTAAAGTATCTGAAATAGAAAATGCAACCCCAAGCTCGCTGGGCTTGAAGAAGGATCTTGAATTGAGCACAGAGCACAGTGGTGATTGTGGAACGGCCAGATTGGGCAGTGTTACTGGGTGGTTTTGTAGACACCACAGTGTGTGGTTGTGGATTCCAGATTGAGGGAGATTGAGGAAGAACAGCGTTAAAGACAAAAATGTTTTTAGAAAAAAAACATTATTTAAATTTAAGAGGCACAACCATTCATATCTGTGATTAAACTAGACATTTGGAAGCTGATCAATAGTTCAGAGCCACATTGGGTAAAGAAAGCTAGACGTAATCTTTTAGCTTGAAGTCTTGAATAGAGTGCTTATGATCTGCATGGACATCTTTTATCCTCGGAGTCTGGTGGTGTAGCCTGGGTACCTGGCCTTCTGAAATCTAGAAGAGTTGCTCCAAGTAAGTTGACCTGCAAACCTTTTTATGAATTAAGCTTAGTATTTGAGATCTGGAATATATAGGCTAATTTTTCATCGTGACTCATTCCCAAATGGAGCTTGCATTTTAAAACATTTCAAGTTGCTCTGCTTCAGGTACCCCCAGTGTGGACTGAGAAACCCTGAGAAGAGTGGTGAGAATAGACAGATCGCTGGGCCCCTCGTCCAGGCCTCAGGCATCAAAAGAACCACTGTAGACTGCGGACTCTGCTGCTGCATTTCAAAGTTCTTAATGATCTTTATTTTTAACAAACCACTAGATGTTTTAATTTGATAGTGGGCTCCACTAATAATACGGGCTGGCCTTTGTGGCCAAGACATTTTACAATTAAAGAAAGATGTGGCTTTGAACCCTGGCTATACCAGCCTGTCCTTGGAATAAATTTCACACATCCTATGTACAATGAAGCACTAGGTCTAAAAATGAAGTAAATGGGTTGAAGTCCCAATTTAGTATTTCTGGCATTATGGTTTGTGGAAGTTAATTATGTTCCTAAAGACTTAGAGCCACTTCACTTAAACATGATTAGTAAAACTCAATTTTAAATTATTCCAGTGATTCCTGGAACACAGAGTTTATTGTTAACTACTATCACTGACATGCATCTGGATTTTCTTGTTTGTGAAGAAAAAAATGATATATGCTTATATGGATTTTAACAGTGGTCCAGTTTCATGCAAAAACACTCATATCCACGTTGTCCACAACACACATTTAATACATTTAAAGTATCTTCAAATATATATATATATTTATGTTTAGTTGAATGTTCTAGCTCATTTCTATTATATAATATTAAATATAGATTTACAGATACTGAAGGGTAGCACAGTATCATGCACCAAAATATTCCATTTTGTCATAAGGATTATTTTGAGCTAAAGATATTTTTAAAAAGAAAATGATGATAACAGGTGGTGGAAGGGCACTCTCAGCCTCCCTCTCTCCTTCCTGAGCACAGGAGATAAATATCTTTATATGAAAAATTTCTTCTGATACCACGAGAAGCGTAATATTATTAATACCAGGCAGGCAACACAAGAAAATTAAATTCTATACAAAATTTTATCTTTAGTTGTTTTTCCAAACATTTGGTTTGCCACATTTTCTGAAAGTGTTCTCTTTTGCTTAAAGCTGAAATAAATTTGTCTTTGTTTTTGCTGTTAATCTGTGCTAATGTCAATTTAATTTCAAGCTCACTACAAAACCAGAAGCCATAAGACCTTATTTTCGATGTCATGGCTCTAAATACCCCTTAATATAGTAAGAAAGAAGGAATTCTAAATTGCTGAGATGGCTCTGAAAATTTTAAATTAAAGTCATTTGTATGAGCATTAAAAACTGTTTTAACATGAAAATATCAAAATATATGAAACTAAACATAACTGAAAACATACATATATATTTTTATGCATAAAATGTATCTTACTGATTTCAGCAGCTATAACAGTAAGATTATGCCATTGAGATAATTCTCGGTCAAGTGGTTTTGATGTATAAAGCGATCCATTTCCAGAGTGTATATTAAATATTCTGTCAAGGTCAGTGTGACGATCCAAGGAAAATCTGAGCATACAGAGGAAAAAAAAACATACATGGCAGGTAACATTATTGAGGGTTTACGATAGAAAATGTTACAGTGTAAAGATGTATGTTACTAATAATTACAAAAAATAACAATAATGGAGAAAGTAAACTGCTTCATCTGTTTATCAAAGGAATTCATTCACAATCTACTAATTTGACAATCTGTTCTACATTGAAATTCTGGTCTTCCAATGTCTCTTACATGAAATATTGCCTAATGTCATCAATAGCCAGCTAAGCGATATACTTGGCCACAGTACAGTATGTGTTACATGATGTTGCATTATCATTTAGTAATTATAGAATGTGATGAATCATTACAAATATTTATTTATTTATCTATCTGTTTGGTACAGGGTCTTACTATGCAGCCCGGACCCATAGAGATCCTTCTGTCTCAGCCTCCCCACCACTGGGATTACAGGCCTGGGCCACCACATCATCTGGTTTCCAGGTCAGCGCTGTGGCCTGGCATGTCATACAGGGGATCAAACTCAGGTCCTTGAGCTTGCCAGGCAAGCGCTTAGACCACTGAGTTATCAACCAGCCCTATAAATATTCTTTAAATGAAATAAAAACAATTTAATTCTATGATATATTGGCAAATAAATTCCTTTATATCTGTATGTTGAATATATTGAGATGAAAATGTTCCCACTATGCTCTCCTAAATGAAACCACAGGTTACAAAAGCATATGCATGTTGCTGCCATTTTTTAAAAAGTAATACATTATTTACAGAGATAGGAAATTGTTTAAATTGATGTGCACTTAACTACTTAACTCTGTCTATGAGATTAGTGTCTGTATTTTATTTTATTTATGAGTATTTTCTGACATGTTATTTCTAAGTGGAGAAAACGAAAATGCTAGAAGTCGTGCTATGTTAATTAGCTTGATTTTAGTCATTTCACATGTTGTATTTTGAATATATGTGATTCAACTTGTCAATTATAATCAATTAGATCAAATAAATAAAGCATGGTTTGCAATATGTGAATTAATATAAAGTCTCTCATAGAGTATTTCCAAATCTGTATTATGTGCTTTTTTCTCATTTGTTGAAAATGAATATAAAGGGGAAAAAATTCATAGGATTATGGTACTACCTTTAATATATCAAGTTCTTTTTCAGACTTTGTTAGCAGTCTGTTCCTGTTTTCTAATTATGTTTTGGCAAATTATGTGTTTTAACCCATTTTCATTTAAAAATCATTTTTATGTTACAAAATTTAAATAAAACCTTTGATTATTGCCCGAAAACCTGGAGTGCATTACACAATTTAAAATATGACCAAGACCAGGGAGATGGCTCAGTGGACTAAGCACCTGCTTAGGCAAGTACAGGGATCAGGGCTTGATCCCCAGCCCCACGTGCCACACCAGGCCCATTCCAGGCATGCTAAGCCAGCGACAGAGACCGGGTGTGATGGTGTATGCCTATAAGTCCAGTGCTTGGGAGGCTGAAAACAGGAGGATCACTATGAATCCAATCTGTGTAGTCAGACTCTGTAGACCCTGTACTAATTAAATAAATAAATAAATAAATAAATAAGAAGAAGAATTAAAAATATATCAAATATGATCCATAAATGCTTTACACTACTAAAACTATTTTTAATTTTTGCAATCATTCCGTGAAAGACAGTGGGAATTGGATCCAGAACCTTAAAGAATACTAAATATGCAGATATTCTAGTTTTTTTCTTTCTTTCATTCTTTCTGTTTTTGGCTGAAGCAGGGAATGAACTCGGGCCCTTGTGATTTCCAGGGAAACATTTATTCTACTGAACTATCTCCCCGGCCACAGAGACATCTCCCCATCCCCAGTTATTCTAGTTTCACATGTAAGCTGATCATAACTTTTGCATAAAATATATGTATATTATCCTATACATTAAACCATTTTAGATTATTAGATTGATTATGGTTTCTAACATGATGTAAATGCCATATGTATAGCAAATATACTCTGGTATCTAGGGATTAGTGATGAGAACAGTGTTCATATTTAGTACAAGCACAATGTCTTTTCTAAAATATTATCATGCTGTTGGTGGAACTGGAGGATGCAGAAATTCCGAGTATAGAGGACAAAATATGCATGTATATATACACAAACACAAACAATATGACATCTCTGTTTAATGTCATTGGCTGTATACTAGATAGATACATAGATAGATAGATAGATAGATAGATAGATAGATAGATAGATAGATGCTCTTGTTTATCAGATAATGTTATCTAAGAATATTCCATCTTCTGCATCAAGGGTGTGTAATGTAAAATATATCATAAACTTCACAGAACACACCATCATTCAAAAGCATGACAGCTGTCAATTTTGTTGCATAAATTGTAATTTTTTTGTTTAATCTCTTTTTATTCTTTATTTGTTTTGAACAGGGTCTCGCTATATAGCTCTGATTTATAGTGATCCTCCTGTTTCAACCTCCCCAGCTGGGATTACAGTCATGCTCCACCATGCCCTGTTTCATAGCCAGCAGAGTGCCTGGCATTCCAAGGTTGGCAAGGCATGTGATACTAGGAATCACACTCAGGTTCTTGAGCTTGCCAGACAGCCAGTTAGACCACAGAACTATCACCCCAGCCCATGTTACATAAGTTCTATGCATGATTCTTTCTTGCTTTTTCTTAAAATTTCTTCCTCCTTAAACACTTTGTTACTTTTAGATATCTACAGATGATTTTTCACTTATTATAATTATCAATTTATATGAAGATGCAAAAATTTTATTTTGCTATATTTCATTTTAAATTTTCTATTTTAATAACAATACTGCATGGCATGAATTTATTTCTTTAAAATATTATATATCCTTTGGAACATTCATTTGGAAATAAAGAATGCAGAATACAATTTGGAGAAACAAGTGAGAATCTCTGTGCCAAAAACGCATGGTAAGTATTTAGTGGGAAATTTTATTTTTTTCCATAATTTTATTGAGAAACAAATTTCAATGCGACAGTGGCCAAAAAATTGGTAGGACAGATTCAATAATTAACACATTGCATTCATACTTCCTAGTGATTAATTGCTGTACAAGATATGGACATGATATCCTATTTAAAACACCATTGGAACAATCGTTCTATTCATTAAGAGAATGTAACTATATATCTATCCTACCCATTTTGAATACACATATACAAAATGGACATTCATCTGTATCTCCTGTTTTGTTTAGTTCTGTCATTTGAATATTATAGGAGTGTTAACTCAGCAAAATATTCTAAAAGAGTCCAATAGTTCATAATAGTATTGGGCCTTCTGCTTGACTAGCAGTGTCAGAAATTGTTGACCTGATTTCCCTACAGCTCAACATAACAGCATGACTTTATTTCTTATACTTTGCTTTTATACTTTTCTGCTGGATGGTTAAGACCAAGGTAAAGCAGGACCTATGCAGCAAGAGTTGTAGCTTTTGGGTCTAATAAGGTCAGTGAAATCCCCTCAGATTTGTCCTGAGATCCTGTATCTCAGATTGTAGAACCTTCGTCAGTATCAGCCATATGGATGAGTCATGGCCATTGCTTGGCCAATGTGCTCTCTGTGAAAGCCTGAGAGAATGTTTTCTCTTCGTGTGACTGTCCTTAGGCATACTCTACATCATCAATCACTTTCATCTTTGGCCCCATAATCTCCCTGATCAGAAAATCTCCTTGATCAGAAAATGTCTGAGTTACATGACGTTACAGCAAAATGTTCTCATATGTCCCGAGTCTTAATTGACCTTGGAAGGCTAGGGCCAAAATGTTGGCTTTCCTTGTGGCCCTCCTTTTTCTCTAATTTTGGTCTGCAAACTTAGGTTGTTAACCCTCCAGAAGAGAAGTTTCTTGTTATTACCATACAACCTAGGCTATTTAGCTTAACCTCACCATCTGTCTGAATATGAAACATCTTAGGCATAACGTGAAACAGGTATTTTTCATCAAGTGTTGATATGTTGAACTTAAAGTCCCTGCAGAATATGATGAAAAAACTTTTAAAAACTAGAATATATTTTTTTAAAAAGGCATAAAGAACTATATAATTTTTATGTTTACACATAAGTCCAAAAATCTAGCCATATCCATCCTTGAAGCAGGACAGTCCCCCAATATTCCTTTTCCTGTCTCTTGCCTTCATTCACCATTCCCTTCTTTTTCAACAATCATCTAACCGAGACACAGCACAGCAGCAACTGAGCACAGCAGCAACTGGCATGTCATGACAAGCAGCCCGTATTCAGAAGACCAGAATGACAGGCACTCCAAGCATGAACCTACTATTACAGATTACCATCTTTGGTGCAGTTGCTTAGTTCACAGGTATCAGTATATATGGTTAGTCAGGATGAGAATCTTTCCAAATAACTGCTAGATTAAAAAATCTTCTGGAGATTCTCAGGATCATTGCCTTGCCCAACTTCTACATTTAGTGGGAAATTTTAAACAGGTATATAAGTAACTTAGCACATTGAAAGGAAAAAATGCAATGAATGCAGCAATTTAGTAGAAGATAAATGGATTAGAAATGAGACATTGTGTGTAAATTCTGATGGCTGTTGGTAGCACTATGTGATTGTCACATGCACTTTTCTTCTGCCAATAGGTAAGCTGTGATGCTGTTTATAAACATGAAAATGTATAGCTATGTAACACTTCATGAACGATGTATGTTTTCATATACTATAAAGTATTGTATGACTTTATTTTTTCTATTTTATTTTGTTGAGAAACAAATAGCAATGAGACAGTTTCAAAACTGATTAATAGGACAGTTTCAATAATTAATACATTGAGCATTGTTATCTTCTTCATGGTTATCCATAGTAGAAGAAACAGACATGATATCCTGTCCAAACACTATTAGTACAAATCTTTCTTTTCATTGAATTAAGCAGTAGCTGTATATCTATCTGTATGACTTTATTTTATGATTAACAAAATCTATAAAATTTTTAAGTTCAACC